AAGTAAACATTCAAATATGCGAATGGAGCTAACTTATCTTTGACTTCTGTCATGTACTTATTTACTGAGATGAATTTCGTCATCTTTTCTATCGGATAAAAAAATATTTTTTTAAAAATTTACTCAGAAAAAATTTTCTTTGTATATACACCATTCTGAACATCTAAAAGACTTTTGACATTTGCCAAGAATGTACGTTTAGACGCTGCCATATAACCATATTCTTGACATATTGTTTATACGAATCGTACAATGACCTTTCATCTAATGACACAAAGTCAGTTTCATGCTATGAACAGTTCATATACACTCTTGTTTGCTTCTAACATGTTTGTCTCTCTTCGGTATGTGGAATTTGTCTTGGATTGAACTTAGAAATATCTAATGTCATGAAATATGAAGAACAAGTGGTTGTAAAAGTCAGATGTCAAAGTTTCTGCTAAGTCGTCAAAATATTCTGTATCTTGCATATGAGAATCTGACGTTCTGACAACTACATATCTTCTGTCAGAACTTTCTAACTTCATCGGAACAGCATTGTTTGAAACCATAATGAAGTTTGCAACATTTTCACAAACTCTTTGGTCTTTATACTTTCTTTCAACAACTCCAACTTTTGTCTGTTATAAGACTCTTCAAAGCATCTGAGTTTCAAAACTTTTGTTGTATCTATACTTTGAAGTTATTGCAAACTATAAGTTTCATATTCTCAATTGAAGAGTTAAATTACCGCAGATGTTTTCTAAGTTTGTCATATTAGGGTTCGAATAACCTTCTAATAGTTTGCATAAGATATCTGTAAAGAAAGTATTCTTACCTGTTCCTTGTTTTTCCAATTATAATGAGAGCAGTTTCATTTTTAGCACTTGGATGTTGTAAGATTTTGCAAACCAACATAAGATATACTCATAGACTCTTTCGTTTCCATTGCATATAATTTTCTTTGACATGGTTAACCAAGCTTCTTATAATATTTTCTTTCCATTCTACTTGTTCGTATTTATATCCAGTGAAGATAGAATAGAAGTTTGGAGAAGGTGTATAGAACTTTATACCTCGAACTGAAAAATCTTCTAACTTTGACAATAAGATATCCAAAGCATCTTCTAACATCTTCATTCCAACTTGTACAACTTTTATTTTCTTAAGTTTCTGTCTACATTCTTGTTCAGACACTATTGTGCTCTTGGTTTGTTAAAGACAACATCCATTCTTTCATAACATAACATTCTGGGGCAGAGTCAACATAAATGACTAAACGTTTCAAATTCTCGACTGCTTTGTTTATAGTCTCTAAATGGACACATATTTCTGAATGCTTGGAAGTCATAAAAATCTGAAACATCTATTCTGTACATTTTTATAAAAATAAAAAAAATATTATTTTTTATTCTTGACTTTGTTGTTCCATTTGTTTGCATTTGTTGTTCTTGAGCTATTTGTTGTTGAAGTTGTTTCTTGTAATACAATACTTTCACCAGTTGCATCTTCCAATTCGAAACTTTCTGCCGTCATTGACAAATACATAGGACATAAAAGTTTTACAGGAACAAAGTTTGCGTCAACTAATGTCAACGTTATACTTGCCAAAGTGTTTGAGTTCACTAAGGTTAAAATTCTGCATTCGAATGAACAATAGGCAAACCAGCAGAGAAAGTATTTGTTTATACGCATAAGTATCTTTTGGTCATAAAGTTTCTGTCGACATTCGAATAACACTTTGAACCTAAGTTTGAAACAATATATAAGATTGGTGTGCTTAATGTCAATGGAATAGACATTCCTTGTATGACACCTTTTCCTGTTATAGGAAACTGTTGGTAGTAAAAACCAGAAATAAGTTTTGTATTATAGCTCATATCGTTTATAGTAAACTCAGTCGGACATCCAAACATAATGAAACCTGCTCTAGTTGCAGCACATGTTACACTCGTACGTAAAGTATTAAATAAGTCAACAAAACCTGTTGGTGGTATATCTGAGTAAGTATCTTCAAAGGAGTATTTTTACCATTCACAACAATAAAGTCTTCTGGTGTCAAAAGAGCAAAACAGGCTTTAGTCGTCATTGTGTTTAAGGTTAGTTTACAATATCGTCCTTGAGGACTTTGTAAGTTTGTTGTTATAGAATTATATGACTCAGGTTTTAGTCGTAATAGTATAAACCATTATGTCTTCTGCCATTTATATATATTTAAAAGTTTTTCTGAAAGTGGAGAAGAACTTCATCTAAACTTTCACATGGCGTTTCTTGAAGTTCTCTGTCTAAGAAGTTCAAATATTTTGTAAAGACATAGAACTTTTCCTTTGTCTACACGAACAAACAAAACAGGGTCTTTCATATCGTTCAAAAGTGTGTAAAGTCCTTTACATGAAATAAAGTCTATATTATTTTTCTTCAAACATCTTTCAAGAAGTTTTGACATTTTTACTTAGCAAATAAATTTTAATGAAATGTTGTGGTCGTCAAATATTTTTATAACGTCTGGGAAACTATATTTTAAGTTCAACGTTTCACCTCCTTTCATAACGTATATCTTGTCAATGACATTAATGAAACACCACAGCAACTAATGTCGGGTTCTATTTCTTTGATGTTTATATCGTCTGCCTCTGTCAAAAGTTTCAATAGTTCTTTCAAAACTTCATGAGGTGCGATGACATATGAGTTCACTTTTACAGGGTTGTGTTCGACCAAGTTTAACATTATACTTAAAGCTTGACAAATCTTCTCCTGAGTTTAAGTTTGTCTTTCAGTTGTTGGTAGTCGTTTCGAATATCTGCAACAGAACTTAAGTCTCTGCTAACTTCAGGATATGTTGGTTCTTTTACAGGAACAATTGTTATACCATCTTCGTCTTCGTATGGTTTCCCCACTTCAACATCTCTGTCTTTGACATTGACAACAACACTTTGACTGTTTGTTTGAGTTGGTGAATTTAACTTCACATCTGCCACCGCCATTAAACCTTTTGAAACACTTACGCTTTTATTTTTCGGAAATGACATTTTACTTAGAATAAAAAGATGGATGTATTCGGATATCTCTTCGAATTGAAGCAAAACAAGGTTTATACTCACAAACAATACAAATACATTGACAGAATAGTTCTTTACACAAACAATGGAAAATGTTATAGAATAGCAGTCTTTGCTGAACCTAAATATTTTCATAAAGCAAAGAAAGTTGGTATAACTGAAATGGTGAAAGTTCTTGACGTTGACAAAAATATAACTTCAAAACTGACCGATATTACTAAAGGAAAGTTTATAATACAATATTATGTCAAAACTGGCGTACTGTCAATATTTGACGGAGAGAAGTCAGTTCAAGAACAACTTACTGACCTGCTGCCAAAATCTGCTCGATGGAAGCTGTCGTTATGCCAATCTGAGGAGCCCCAGCAGGTTTCATCGAACGAATCTTCAAAAGAGCATCTTCCGTGAAAAGTGCTATTGGTTTTGTAAACTTCTTTGCTTTCAATTCATCTGGACCGTCTCTGTCACCAGTATATTGTATTTGTACAGTACCAACAGTTGAAATACCACCCATAAAGTCTTCTGAGTCAGCAAATGGAATGCCAAGCCAAAAGTTTGAACGGTCTCCATTTGTATATTGAGTTTTTTGACCTCCTGTATGAGTCCATACTTTCACATATGGCATAATAGAACTTTGCATTTCAGGGTTAATGGTCGTTGTGAAGTTGTTGTTAAAGTTCATAGCATCTAATGTCAAGTTGTATGACCTCATATCCTCAACTGTAGAATATTCTTCTCTTGGATAATATTTGCCATCTATGTTTATATGATATTTAATACCAGGGTTGTAGAAACAAGAATAGTCATTTATAGTTCGTCTGAACAGTACAAACATAGTATCTGCATGTTTCATTGCAGTTGTTAAAGCAATATCTGTTCTTGCACCTGGGTCAGCACTTTGGTTTCCAACTTCACCTGCAAAGTCTTTGACAGATATTTGGTGTATAGGGAACATAAGTGGAACTGCAATATATTTGGCAGCTAAAGCATTTGAAATATCTGGGTCCAACATATAAACGGCAAGTCTGCTTTCTATTCTCTTGCATTCAAACTTTTCGCATGTGAACTTAACTGGGTCCCAAGCAGTTCCAGCAGCATTGAAATAATAGTTTACTTCAGTGTTGAGGTTTGAGAAACCAAAGTCTAAGTCAACTTTGTCTTTGCAAAAGTCGGCGAATGACGTTTGATTTGTTCCCTTTACGTCTGTAATAGTGAATGGGTCTTGTGTTGGTGCAATGACTAAGTTATTTTGCTTGGAGTAAGTTCAATAGAAATTTTTCCTGCCCAGTTTGGCAAGTATCTTAAAAACCTGAAGATGAGGAAAGATGACAAAGGAACTCTAAGTTTCAGTTTTACTTTGGTTACTGCTGCTGCAGTTTGTTCAGAAAGGTTAACATAAACTCCTGGAACGTTAGGGTCAAGTCTTCTTATTTTCTCAATAGTTGCATACTGGTCTGTTTGTTCTCTAGCTTGTGGTTGTACTGAGTTTCTCAAAGCGAACCATTCATAGTTTGCCCATGTTACTGTTTGAACTAAGTCAGAGTTAGAATATATCTTATATCCCATGAAAACTTCTGGAGCATATTGGTATCCGACATAGAAAATTCCATTGCAACCTTTCTTGTCAGACAACTTGGCAGAAGGTTTTATTTCAATGTCTTGTTCCACGTATAAGAATGAGTTGTCAATAGAAATAATATGAAACCTGTCGCAAGCAATATCTACTGTTGTTGAAGAACCTTCTCCAAACTCACCTACGTTTCCATAAGAAACAGCAGTTGTATATTCGTAAGTTCCAGGAACTATTTCTGACCTTCTAATGGCATTGTCGCATTCGTTATACCATTCGGAAACATTTCCGTTCATGGCATCCAAAACTGTTGGCGTTATATTCTGAGCGGCGTACATTTCATATGGGTAAAAATATAGAATAGTTGGATTTATATATCATAATAGAACCCATTCGGACCAAGCTTTACTTTCTTCCTGACTGAGTTTTGTTGCATCTTTGCATCATGTTCACCTAGTATGTTGTAAATTTCCCATGTCCTTTTTGCCTTTGGGCTCTGGTCGCCCATCTCAGGTAACCTATATCCTAGAAAGATTTTGTTATAGTTTGTATTTGAGTCGTCGCTTATTGTTTGCATGACTCTTTCCTGAGTTTCCGGTTCAAGCTCTTCAAACAGAGCTTGTCCATATGGAATAAGCTCGTTTCCAAATATATGTTTTTGTAGCCATTCTGGTTTTCTTTCCATGTAACCAATAATATCTTTTGTGAATGGGAAAGCTTTTACCCAATGTTCCAGTCTTGCGTCATTTATTTCTGTAGTTGGTTTTATTTTGTCAAGGAACATGTTTTTCAATACTAACATTTCATTTGGTACTGTCCATTTGAGTTTTCTTAAATATTCATCCCTTCTCTGTTCATTGTCTGCAAAGTAAGTTTTTATGACATTTGCAAACTTTCGTTTGCAAGGTCATGTACAATAGGTTCTCTTCCTTCTCTCTCCCTAACTCTCTTTCTAAACTCTTCACCAAATATACCATCTCTATGGTTCTGTGTAGTTCTTTGAGATAAATGTTTTAGAACGTCAGGTGTTATATTTCCATCAGCCATGTTCATTTCATACTGGTCCAAAATATCTGCATGTTTCATATCTTTCAATGGCATTAAAGCCGCGCTGAAAATACCAGCTATATCTGGTTCACCATTCACTTCCATTGCGTCTACAACTTCTTGGAATTGTGGTTGTAAGTTTATGAACCACCTATCCGGATTAGCTTTATGACCCCATCTCATTGTAGTTCCATAGTCTGCAGAAACAAAAGTAGGTTTGTTTCCATATTGGTTAGGTTCTGAATGAACTTTAAACAATGTTTCATTTCTATATGTTTTGTTGAAATTTAACCTTTTATTTTCACCGAGTTCATCCAAAGATTGAACGTTATATGGTCGTAAGTAAAAAGGATTGTTGTATTTGCGTACATTTTCTTTCAGTTCTTCCATTCTTTGCTGAATATTTTCATCTGATGTTGGAGTCTTTTGTATGTCGGCGAACATTTTTCGATATTCTTCTACTATGTCAGCCGAATTTTCCTTAGACTCTTGGAAAGATTCCATATTCTCCGCATACTCTTGTTGAGGGTCAAGATTTTTCGACTGTTCCAAATCTTCATCTGGTTCTGTGAAGTTAGTTTCCAAAGGAGGGACTTGTTCGTTTCCTTCAGGCTCTTCTAGCTGTTGTTGCTGAACTATTTCTTCCATGTCTGGTTGTATCTGAACTTCTTCCTGTGGAGTTTCTTGTACCTCATCTGGTGGCATTTCATATATTCCGAGACCGTTTTTAACAAGTTCCCTATTTAAGTCATCCGCATTCATAAGCCTTTCTTCTTTCGTTCCGTCTATATTTTTTACGCGTTTCATGAAGATAGTTGAATTATCATTTATCTCTGACACAAAATATCTCGGAGTAAATTCATTCATGTCATTTGGATGATATGCTATTAAATCATATCCCTTAGCGAGCTTGTATTTTCCAGGTTTGAAATTATATCCCATTTGGTGCTGAACCATAAAGCTAAATAGGTTCGGGTCAGTATTTCCTTCCTTGAACTTTCTAATAGCTTCTTTATATCTGTCACTAAAGTCAAGAGTATCTGGGTAATCATATTCTTCCTTAAGCATTTTTAAGAATTCTTGGTTTCCTTCTTCTCTACTTCTTTGATGTCCTTGCTCTGTTTGTGCTGGTTGTTGTGCTGGTTGTGGAGGTGGTTGTTGTGCTGGATTTTGAATTGTTGGTTGTTGTGCTGGTTGTGGAGGTGGTTGTTGTGCTGGTTGTGGAGGTGGTTGTTGTGCTGGTTGTTGTTGTTGTGCTGGATTTTGAATTGTTGGTTGTTGTGCTGGTTTTTGTGCATGCCTGTGTCTGTGTCCATGTGACGATGTAAATGTTTTACGTAGTCCTGGTGCAGGTGCTTCTCTTGGAGGGTTTGGTGGTATATAAGTTCCACTAGCTAGTATATAAGTTCCACCAGCTGGTATATAAGTTCCACCAGCTGGCACATATGTTCCATCTGCAGCATAATGTCCTACCTGACTTTTCGTTCTTAAGAAAGCATTTACTAGGTCTTTTTTGGTCTGTTGTAACTCTTTTTCTTGACTTTCCACAACAGTTGCTCTAACGGCGTCATAGGCACTTTGAACTGCCTGTCTCGTTGCTGCATCTGTTATTTTCGTCATATTTTGTGCTACTTCTCTTAACTCTTTGTCGAAACCTTCAGACTTCAGTTTCTTTCCAGATGAGAAGTCGTTCACTTGTTTCACCTTACTATGAAGAGCTTCGAAGGCATTCTTAAAGTCAGCATTCATTAAAGCTTCATTTGAACTGTCTTCATCCGCTTGTATTTTTGTCCTTATTGACCCTATAAGTTGGGCTGCTTTAGCGTTGGCTTGGGCATCTAACCAGTCATTATTAGCTTTTATATATTCTGCGCTTTTCATTGCCTTTTGCATGGCTGCGTCGTTATTTTTACTTTCTTGTGCTAAGTTTTCATACTGTACGGTTTGGTTTTGCAACTGTAAAAGTTTTTCTGCCTTTACGTTTGCTTCAACTTCTTTTTTATACTCATCGCTATCCATATATGTCTTCAGGGCTTTTTGTTTTATCTCTTCATCTTTCAGTACTTTATATTGAGTAGTATGGTTTTTCAAATTTATAACATCTTGTTCCATTTTTGCTACTTCTGCTGCTTTTTCTGACACTTTTTTCGCATATTCCTCTGTACTTAGTTCTTTCAGTTGTTCTTCTTTCTTCTTTTTCTCTACGTTAACTCATTGAGTTTCTTTGTGTTGTCTGTCATATTCTAGTTTCTTTTCGTTTTCACTTATTTGTTTCTGTATGTCTATGTTTGACTTTTTGACATCTGTTATTTGATTTTTGAGTGAACTCAAATTCATTTGACTTTGAGGGTTATAAGCTGTTCCGTCTGCAGCTCCACCATAGCCTGCCATTTTCGCTAAAAGTGCGCTCTTAAACCTCCACTCTGTGCACCAATAACTCGGTTTAAAAGCATAGGGTTGCTTGACATTTGTTGCAACATAGTGGGGTCATTCATCATTTGTTGTTGCAACTGTTGTTGTGGTGTCAGTTTTACTATTGGATGTTTCAATGCTCCTTCCTCTTACGTATATTCTTACGTAGCTTACGTGGCATTTTAAGTGAAGTTAAAAAGCGATTTTTGACAGATGTTTATATGACACTTTTTGTTCAGCACAAAAAACTACTCGGTCAAAGTGTTGTCAGTTTTGTAAAATAACCGTCCTATCTCATTCTATAAGGGGGAAAAGGCTTCTCAAAGTATACTTCCTTGGAACGCCTGTAACTTTTCCTGTAGCGACGATAGACCATTATTTGTCCGGACAAAGTTATACTATTTTGAGTGCTCTACAAAAAAGTCAACGGCGACGACTCTCAAAAACCGTTGTGTAAAAAGTTTTATCGTTGGACAAAAAAGTATATAGAAAAACAAAACGTTTATAGTTCATTCAATATTTGAGATGGAACGGTTTTCCAACGGTAACTATTAAATAAAATAAAAAAATAGAGGGGGTTACCGTTGACGAAAACGGTTTATTTTAAACTTTTCTATGAGTAGTCCGAAAAAAAAAGTTCATTTTTTGTCTAATGGAAGGAAGAAAAAGTGTCGCAAACAATTCAAACATTAACAATTCTCAACCGCTAACCAAAGCCAAAGCCCCACAACCTCCAAGAACCGGCACAGCGGTTAGAATAACCGCCAAAAGGTCTAACAGCGAATTAAGAGAAATTCTTCAACAAATTTGCTCTAAATATCTCAAAGACGCCGAAGAAAACACACAACCAGACGCTACATACAATACTCAGTTCTGTGAAGTTCTGAACAAAGCAATTACTAGTTCAATTGAACTTACTAAGACAATTCCAAGTCCAATTGAGCTTAGCGATGTCTTAGTTCAGTATTTTCCAACATTTACTAAGCCTTATAATGTTGAGAACTTTATACCAAGTTCGTCAAAATCTTCCTCGTTCCATCCAACGGTCATTCGACAAGAGAATTGCCGAATTTCAAGTCTTTAGTTACGGATATGACAAGATGAATACGAGGACGAGTTCGGAGACAACTGTACAAAATGGTTTGAATGTTATACGACAACACAATTTGAATTCGACTTTCTCGAATTCAACGCAGCAACCATTCATATCATTGCTCTTTACCTTTCGAAGAAAACAAGACCTCGCAGATGGAGATGTTGTTACTGTCGTCATGAAAACTCCTGAACAATTCGGAAAAAAGAAGTCTCTAATTGCCAAATTCGTTCCAGGACATCAGCTTTTCCAACGCACAGAAGTCTTCTGTATTCCTGGAACGAAGTTCTTTGTCAGGAGCGAACTCAAAGAAAGATATAATGTGTCATTCAATTACACATTATATAATGTTTTCGACCCAGAAGAAGACTTCTTCCCAGAAGCAATGGAGGAAGAAGAAGAGGAGGAGGAAATACAAGACTCAATCCAAGAAGAGTCCTCCGAATTCACACCCGAAGACTAACAATTTTCCGAATAAAAACTTAATTTATACTAAACATCTTCAGGGCTAGAAGGGGCGCAGCCCCTGGAAGCCCCATTCCCTTTTTTTTTTTTTTTTTTTTTTATATTTAATAAAGATTCTATTTTTCATATTAAATTTCAAAAATGAGGGGGTTCGGAATCGTCCACAAATTTCCGAAAGGGTTTTTGCCAGTTTTGAATCCGCTTATTTTTATCGTCCAAAATTATAATAAATATAATTTTCGATAAGTATTGAATATTCCTTCAAAAAAATTATTTTTCGGATTTTATTCCGTAACAAGGAAATTGTTTATTTTGAGGTCAGGTCAGGTGAGTGGGGCTTCCAGGCGCGTTGCGCCCTCTAGCCCCTAAGAAATTTTGCCCAAGACCCAAGAGGAGGACCGAACCCCAGCCGACCAGCCGGTGACAAAACCAAAACCGTTGTTATTTACATCATATTAATAGTGTCACTTTTTATGTCACTTTTTAAAATATCACTTTTATGTCACTTTTCACAAATTATATATGTTTTCATGTTTTGTCACTTTTCTGTCACTTTTCGGGTAAAAACATTTTTATTATTATATATAAATGAATTTTACAAAACCACCGTTACCGTTCTTTGGAAATAAGAGTAGATGTAAAGATATTATATTGAGAGAACTTAAGAAACTACCGAATGGTCTAACATTTGTAGATTTGTTCGGTGGAAGTTTCTATATATCCCATTTATGTCATACAATATTCCCAGACTCAAAGATTATATGCAATGACTTCGACAACTATATGGACCGTCTCAAACATATTCCAGACACAAACAATATATTGACTGAGTTAAAAGAAAAGTTACCTATAGGTAAGATGGAACGTATACCATTAGATAAGAAAAATATTGTGAGAGAGGTTTTGAAAAAAGCAGAATATATAGACTGGGATAGTATATCTGCTAGATTATTATATAGTGGTGCTATAAGAGTTCATGACATTGAAACACTTATGTCAAAAGTTTTATATCTTAACTATACAAATGTTTTCAAAGAGGACATAGAAAAATATATTGAGGGTATAGAGTTTGTGAGATGTCATTGGACAGAGTTGTATGAAAAATATAAAGACAAGGAAAATGTTTTCTTTATAGTGGACCCGCCGTTCTATAACACATGGGATTTTCAATACCAAGTTGACTGGACTTTGAGAAGCCTTTTTCCCTTATAGAATGAGATAGGACGGTTATTTTACAAAACTGACAACACTTTGACCGAGTAGTTTTTTGTGCTGAACAAAAAGTGTCATATAAACATCTGTCAAAAACCGTTTTTTAACTTCACTTAAAATGCCGCGTAAGCTACGTAAGAAATACGTAAGAGGAAGGGAGCATTGAAACATCCAATAGTAAAACTGACACCACAACAACAGTTGCAACAACAAATGATGAATGACCCCACTATGTTGCAACAAATGTCAAGCAACCCTATGCTTTTAAACCGAGTTATTGGTGCACAGAGTGGAGGTTTAAGAGCGGCACTTTTAGCGAAAATGGCAGGCTATGGTGGAGCTGCAGACGGAACAGCTTATAACCCTCAAAGTCAAATGAATTTGAGTTCACTCAAAAATCAAATAACAGATGTCAAAAAGTCAAACATAGACATACAGAAACAAATAAGTGAAAACGAAAAGAAACTAGAATATGACAGACACACAAAGAAACTCAATGAGTTAAACGTAGAGAAAAAGAAGAAAGAAGAACAACTGAAAGAACTAAGTACAGAGGAATATGCGAAAAAAGTGTCAGAAAAAGCAGCAGAAGTAGCAAAAATGGAACAAGATGTTATAAATTTGAAAAACCATACTACTCAATATAAAGTACTGAAAGATGAAGAGATAAAACAAAAAGCCCTGAAGACATATATGGATAGCGATGAGTATAAAAAAGAAGTTGAAGCAAACGTAAAGGCAGAAAAACTTTTACAGTTGCAAAACCAAACCGTACAGTATGAAAACTTAGCACAAGAAAGTAAAAATAACGACGCAGCCATGCAAAAGGCAATGAAAAGCGCAGAATATATAAAAGCTAATAATGACTGGTTAGATGCCCAAGCCAACGCTAAAGCAGCCCAACTTATAGGGTCAATAAGGACAAAAATACAAGCGGATGAAGACAGTTCAAATGAAGCTTTAATGAATGCTGACTTTAAGAATGCCTTCGAAGCTCTTCATAGTAAGGTGAAACAAGTGAACGACTTCTCATCTGGAAAGAAACTGAAGTCTGAAGGTTTCGACAAAGAGTTAAGAGAAGTAGCACAAAATATGACGAAAATAACAGATGCAGCAACGAGACAGGCAGTTCAAAGTGCCTATGACGCCGTTAGAGCAACTGTTGTGGAAAGTCAAGAAAAAGAGTTACAACAGACCAAAAAAGACCTAGTAAATGCTTTCTTAAGAACGAAAAGTCAGGTAGGACATTATGCTGCAGATGGAACATATGTGCCAGCTGGTGGAACTTATATACCAGCTGGTGGAACTTATATACTAGCTAGTGGAACTTATATACCACCAAACCCTCCAAGAGAAGCACCTGCACCGGGACTACCTAAAACATTTACATCGTCACATGGACACAGACACAGGCATGCACCAAAACCAGCACAACAACCACAACCAGCACAACAACAACCAACAGTTCAAAACCCTGCACAACAACAACCAAAACCAGCACAGCAACAACAACCAGCACAACAACAACCAAAACCAACAGTTCAAAATCCAGCACCACAACAACAACCAAAACCAACAGTTCAAAATCCAGCACCACAACCAACAGTTCAAAATCCAACACAACAACAAACAGTTCAAAATCCAACACAACAACCAACAGTTCAAAATCCAGCACCACAACAACAAACAGAGCAAGGACATAAAAGAAGTAGAGAAAAAGGAAACCAAGAATTCTTAAAAATGCTTAAGGAAGATTATGGTTACCCAGATACTCTTGACTTTAGTGACAGATATAAAGAAGCTATTAGAAAGTTCAAGGAAGGAAATACAGACCCGAACCTATTTAGCTTTATGGTTCAGCATCAAATGGGATATAATCTCAAACCTGGAAAATACAAGCTCGCTAAGGGATATGATTTAATAGCATATCATCCAAATGACATGACTGAATTTACTCCGAGATATTTGATGTCAGAGATAAATGATAATTCAACTATCTTCATGAAACGCGTAAAAAATAGAGACGGAACGAAAGAAGAAAGGTTTATGAATGCGGATGACTTAGAAAGGGAATTTGTTAAAAACGGTCTCGGAATATATGAAATGCCACCAGATGAGGTACAAGAAACTCCACAGGAAGAAGTTCAGATACAACCAGACATGGAAGAAATAGTTCAGCAACAACAGCTAGAAGAGCCAGAAGGAAACGAACAAATCCCTCCTTTGGAAACTAACTTCACAGAACTAGATGAAGATTTGGAACAGCCGAAAAATCTTGACCCTCAACAAGTGTATGCGGAGAATATGGAATCTTTCCAAGAGTCTAAGAAAAATTCGGCTGACATAGTAGAAGAATATCGAAAAATGTTCACCGACATACAAAAGACTCCAACATCAGATGAAAATATTCAGCATAGAATGGAAGTACTGAAAGATAATGTACGCAAATACAATAATCCTTTTTACTTACGACCATATAACGTTCAATCTTTGGCTGAACTCGGTGAAAATAAAAGGTTAAATTTCAACAAAACATATAGAAATGAAACATTGTTTAAAGTTCATTCAGAACCTAACCAATATGGAAACAAACCTACTTTTGTTTCTGCAGACTATGGAACTACAATGAGATGGGGCCATAAAGCTAATCCGGATAGGTGGTTCATAAACTTACAAACCACAATTCCAAGAAGTTGTAGACGCAATGGAAGTGAATGGTGAACCAGATATAGCCGGTATTTTCAGCGCGGCTTTAATGCCATTGAAAGATATGAAACATGCAGATATTTTGGACCAGTATGAAATGAACATGGCTGAGGGAATATAACACCTGACGTTCTAGAACATTTATCTCAAAGAACTACACAGAACCATAGAGATGGTATATTTGGTGAAGAGTTTAGAAAGAGAGTTAGGGAGAGAGAAGGAAGAGAACCTATTGTACATGACCTTGCAAACGAAAGTTTACAAAATGTCATAAAACTTACTTTGCAGACAATGAACCGAGAAGGGATGAATATTTAAGAAAACTCAAATGGACAGTACCAAATGAAATGTTAGTATTGAAAAACATGTTCCATGACAAAATAAAACCAACACTACAGAAATAAATGACGCAAGACTGAAACGTTGGGTAAAAGCTTTCCCTTCACAAAAGATATTTTATTGGTAACATGGAAAGAAAACCAGAATGGCTACAAAACATATATTTGGAAACGAGCTTATTCCATATGGACAAGCTCTGTTTGAAGAGCTTGAACCGGAAACTCAGGAAAGAGTCATGCAAACAATAAACGAAGACTCAAATACAAACTATGACAAAATCTTTCTAGGATATAGGTTACCTGAGATGGGCGACCAGAGCCCAAAGGCCAAAAGGACATGGGAAATTTACAACATACTAGGTGAACATGAGGCAAAGATGCAACAACTTAAAGCAGAGGGCAAGTTACCAAAAGCGACACCAAAGAAGAAGAGAAGAGTAGAACAAAGTGAAAGTAGTGATGAAGTAACTTCATCTAGTGAAAGTAGTGGCAATGAAGGAAAAAGAAGAGTTAAAGATTCAGTTAAAAAGTCAGCCAGGAAGAAAGTAAAGCTTGGTCCGAATGGGTTCTATTATGACACATAAATCCAACTATTCTATATTTTTACCCATATGAAATGTACGCCGCTCAGAATATTACGCCAACAGTTTTGGATGCCATGAACGGAAATGTTTCCGAATGGTATAACGAATGCGACAATGCCATTAGAAGGTCAGAAATAGTTCCTGGAACTTACGAATAT